CACACACACACACATACACACACGCTCACACACACTCACACATGCACACACACACAACACACACACACACACACACAAATATATATATAATATATATATATATATATATAAACTACAAAGATAGAAAATACATTTCCACCATACACCCCGGCCACATAGTGGAGACATGCACCCGAGTTTTATCATATACTCATGAACTTTGTCATATACTTTAAAAATAAGGCATGCATATTATATATAAAAATATATAGGTATATGTGGTGCATGTCTATAAATTTTCTGTACATGTAGCCCGGGCGCATGGTAGAAATAAACTTTCTGTACATGTAGCCCGGAACTTCGACATTCTTTGCTATTGGTAGACAGCAATCTAACACAGACGTACCAAAAGAGCTGCCTCTGGTAGTGCTTAAGAATCGAACACATGTATAGCTCGTGATATCCAAGAGTGGTACAAATGAATGCATCTTTCAAAAATTTATACTTTAAGTAAACAGCCCACGCTATGAGTCTCAATAATTATCTACTGTATTTATTTATTTTATTTCATCTGCTTCTATCTGCTGATCTTGAGCTATTTTGTTCAATTCACTATCTCGCCTCGCCTGGAAGCTCTTGTTCTCGGCGGCGTTGCGTTCCATAACCTCTTTCCGCTTTTCCTACTCCGGGAGACGGTTATTATTTGAATTGAACAAAGCATATAGAAAAATTTACACTCGTGTACACATATATTGCAACCACTGATTATCGGTAACGATTGTGATATGAAGACGACTCAACGAAGTGAAAGACGAAGGCGTAGACTATTTACTGTAAAGATATCAACGATGGTATGACGTATTTGTCACCCTGGAGTTGGAAACGGGCCAGGTAGCTAGTGAAACAAATTAGTGGACAGATTGTATTTGACCCCTGACGAAACAATGAGCAGTTATGCAAGTATCCACATGAGAGAGAGTTGTAGAAATAACATACTAGAATCTGCAGTTTGTCTGGCTTGCGCATAAACACTAGGTCCACGTACTTCTGCCGTATCCAGGACTCTTTATCATCTCTTGCTTACACGATACAGCGCACAAAGGAATGATAATAGTGAAAACAAATCTTAGTTACAACCTTTCAGAAAGTTGATGAAAATGATATCACAAAAAATAATAGGTACAACTTTCAGCATAGAATGTAGCCATGAGCGCTTTCATTTTACTCTGAGAAAATTGGATCAGTTGAGTGATCAATTCAAAAGACTAGGTCGGATCAGACTCTAGCGGCAAAGGCGAATGTATGATTCTTCACCTGGCGGATACCATAAAAGACAAAGCACCCAAACCTATATCACAGACTCTCCTGTACATCCATATAAAATCACGCGAACACAAATACACTGCATGGAAATGAGCACAGTGAAACTGTACACACACAGCCAAAGAACACTCGACGTATGCTTGTATGCATTTACACACCTAGGGCTATCAGGCGTTGGTTTGGTGTCGCCATGGTGGGGCTTGATGTGCTCGTACTTCTCATTCACTCTCTGATTGTCAGTGTGTGTCAGAATCGTGAGCATGCCCGGTTTCCAGGCGTCTAGCGTTAGCGACCGTACCTTTAAGGTGTAGGGATGGTGTTATATAATAAGTAATCGATTGGCCTCATGAGTGTGCGTTGCGTTCAGAATAGACCATCCCAAAGAGCGACATAGCGTAAAGCAGGTAGATGGTTCAGACTTGATAATGCCCAAACTTGACCACGAATTTGCGGAAAACATCTGATGGATGTCTACGCACAGGCAATCTAAGAGCTGAGCCTATTGTACAAATATTCATCAATGTGAATAATACAAATGCACATACTTGCACGTATTACTATACATCTTCACACACAGGTAGCGTACCTGCGATATGATGACCCCAAGGCTCCTGTGAATGCCTGAGCATTGAATGCAGATGACCACCCCGATGTTGATACTCACCCAATCCGCCCCTGTAGTGTATCATGAGTGTGTGTAGATAAGCATGTCACTTCATATGCCAACTTATTGCAGCAGGTACAGTAGGAACGATCCATAGGTTTCAACCACAGGGCGCTACGTACAAAACCATCGAAAGAGCCGAATAGTACTTTGCGCACACGGTTTGGTACTCATTAGACGACCTGAAACCCGAGGTGCACATCTGATTTGGGCCAAGATAGATACCGGTCGATCACACTATTGTATTTGTGTAATCATCGTATCAAACAGGTGTTACGGACTTGTGCAGTGTACCTCAGTACCCCCAACTAGTCTGAGTTTCTAGCTCATGAGCAAGCATTGGAAAATACCTACCTGGCTCTCCGCAGTCTGCACACGTGGGTGAGTTGGTCATGATGGCCGACAGAATGGGCAGCATGTCAGCGGTGCGATCGATACCGTCTGAGACTACGCCCGAGGGATCTAAGGTAGTCATGTGCTGAGGAAGCGTATTGAATGCGGTCGCGTGTTAGTATGTATTGAAATACTTAAATACATGAAAATAACCCAGATATACATTGATGAAAGGTGTATGTGGTTTAGAAGTTTTGCGGTTGTATGCATGTGTGCGTATGCATGACGGCCATTATGTGCAGCAAAACAAAATAGCAGTCTGAACTGGGACTGATAAGGAGCGAGCTTATTGTTTAAGTAAGTAAGGACAGTGTCTAAGGAAGACAAATATCACGAGCTGTAGGATCCGTTTCAAAAATCTGACAGGTCATGATGGTACACATATGTGCAATAAACAGTGCGCGCACAATACAGCTTGGTGGTGGTAGTATGAAGTAACGCAAACCAAAAGGGTGATAGAAATTTCATTCAGACTACATATAACTTACGCTTGTGGGGGAATGGGAGGGTCGCCGTCGCTGATTATTCAACGAATGTGCTGTAGAGAAAGATTATTTGTATTTGGCTTAGTCCGAAGGCAAGTATTGACTCTGGTGACAAGCGGTTTCGAGCGTTGCATTAGTTCGTTAAGTACAGGAGAATCAAACTTACACATGTACATTCGATTGGTTTCGAATGAAGTAATTTATCAGCCAAGATTTTAACAGTAGTTTCGTACACGATACCTATATGCGAGAAAATTCATCCATGGTCTGGCTAAATCTGCATCATCGTGCAAACATACTTCCAGACGGTTTGTAGCAATATAAAGGCTAATCACAACGTGCATATCTAGAAATCTACAAATCACATTTGGGCAAAACATATTCCTCCGAGGTATCTCAAATAGACGCATCTTTGCGACAACCTCTTGTAAAACCACTGCACACCCATAGCTGCCATCCACTTTCGAATCGAACCGATGCAAGGACACGACCCTGCCTCAGCAAACGCCCACACACCCATCAGCAACATGCTCACCTATAGCATTATTAAGCACACCAATCCACGAGACCATACTCGCTTTACTCACACTCACATACCTATCAGCAACATAACAACCTATAGCATTATTTAGCACACCAATCCATGAGACCATACTCGCTCCACTCACACCCACACACCCATCAG